CAACGTTGTGGTCATTCGCGTCCCTGAGAATTCATTTTTCTCCCAAACCGCAGATAAGAAACGACATTTCGAAGATGCTGTTGAACCCTGCTGCCGTGCTTTTTAAATTCCCCATCTTTCTTGTGTCTTGTCTGTGTGTAACTTCCGTCGACGGAGCATTTGCTCTACTTGCTGCTTCGATGAGTAAGTGTAGCGTCACATAACTTCTTGTGAAGCAGGATCCTTCCTTTGATGCCAAAAGCTTGTGGCGTGCAGTCGATTGGCAAAGGTGTTTTTAAGCTTTTGGCCCGTTGTAGAATCTCCAAGTTAATTTTTGCCTCTTTGCGCAATAAACCGCAATCATAGTACAGTGATGATCCAGTTTGCTGGCTTTGTATTTTTGTCAAGTCCATTTTCTTACTCCAAGAAAAACTCGTTTTCCTTGTCTTGGATTGTCCCCTTTTTGTCTTGTCTGTTTCGTTGTTGGTTTGTCTGTTTTGTTTTGACCGGGGCGTAGGTTGCGTTTTTTGACCTAGACGCTGGCTGCGCCGTTGCCAAACGCTGCCGACAAAGCCGGCCCGCATTTTTTTTGGCTTCGCTAAACAAAAACATGATGCACCGCTCTGGCCCAAAAAGGGCCGTCTTCAAGGTGCGTTTCTGGACCCTTTTCGCGCATTTTCGTGTTGCAAAACAGGGTCGCCGAGTCCAGCATAGGCAGCGTCGGAGCTGCGCCAAGAGCGGCGGGTTCTAGCTTGTGAGCTGGGCCTTTGGGATCACGCAGCTGCTTTGTCATTAACATGTTGACGCATTGTCCGCGCCGCTCGCCGGCGCGCAGACGTGAGCTGCGAGATGTTTGTTTCAATTGCGCGCGTCGCGCACGTGTAGGAGGCGCTTGTGGCCATTGGCTTTTGGCTGGCAGTGCGCTGACTTTCTGTTTTATTGTTTGTCTGGGCCCTTGCTACAAAAAAAACACACGACAAACTACTTCTATTGTTTGAATTGCCGCGGTCGAAGCGTTGCGAGGTAGGTGTGTCCTGAGCTGGCCTTTGCAATTCGGGCTGGCAACTTGGGTGAGTCTCACCTTTGTCTCACGTTCTCACGCTGTTACGTGTTTGTTCTGGGTTCACTGCCGACCGGCGTTTTGCATCAGGCGTCTGCCTTGGATCAACCATGATTTCTCACTACCTGGGAAACCTCAAGACATGGTCTGGCTGAAGGGACAAGTCAAGTCATCGTTGGCCAGACATTGGCTCGCTTGGTTTACTCATTACCAGCCATCGCCACCCTATGTCATCGTATGAACATAGAGAAGATGAATGGTTCCGGTGCATGGCTCAGACTACATGGTGAATGTTTTTTCAAAGGGGAGACAATTCCGCTTGGCGCACGGGTTGACTTCAACAGGAGCGGAACACGATTAACCAGAAAGACGGGGTATTCGTTGGTTGCTCATTGAATTCTGGGCTACACTGGGCGCGAAATGGCAGAACCTGCACCCTCGCAAATCTTGCGAGAATGGAATTCAACTTGAAGAGCTCCAACCATGCATTTTGTATTTGTCGCACACATTTGTGTGTGTCTTTGCATCGTGCATGATTGCAGTTGTTTGGCTTTTAACTTTCAATCATTGCTTGTTCTTTACGGCATTTCCATACCAACCCGAGAAACCAACTCAATTATGTTTTGGTACAGCATTCCATCTATTTGCCAACATCCTTGTCAAAGAACATGTGCTCTACTTGGGCGTTGAAATACTGGACCACTGCTGAAATCGATGCGCTCGAATGGAATTGTTGGACTATTTGCCGTGCGGAGCTTGGGCTTGGCAGTGCATGTTTGATCGTATTGACCACTTTGCTCCGTGTCAGGCCATTGGCGAGCCAGGCTCGCCATGGTGTTTGTTCCCAGCTTTGCCATTGCATTTGAGCAAGTGAAGAAGTCAAGGTGATCTCATCCACCTCATTTGGGACAGATGCTGAGGCATGTGCATATCGACGCCGATAGGCAGCCTTGTGCCCAATATTGAGGCAGCCGAATGCCGCTTTGACCATGCGGCTTTGATGGCGCTGCCAGCTTGACACAAAGGTAGTGCTTCCGATGAAAGTTCCATCGCTTCCAAGCCAGGCTAGGCAACTGCGCTTGGAAGCTGCAGAAGACGAGGCGCAAGACACGTTCTGTTTGTCATTACCCATTTTGGCTGCATTTGGCTCGGCGCATTGTATTGCCCTGCATTTTGACAATGTGGCAGATTGAATAAACTAACAATGCTGCGTTGTTGGCTTAAATAGTATCACTTCCGAATGCTTTCATTACTTGTGAGTGAGCGGGTTGTGCTTTGCCATTGCACGCAAAAAGAGTTGGCATGCTTTGTATGCAGCTTGTTCTTAGAGCGTTCTTTGTTGTTGCAAGTCACCGAGTGCAAGACTCCCCCCAAAAAGACTACCACCCCAGAAGGCCGTCTCTGTCTAGCTCGAGCAAATGTCAAGTTCGCTCAATTAGCCCCAATTAGCCAAAGCAGCTTTGCCAGCACATCAAGGCCTCGACATGAACTTAACTTTGTGGGGGAGGAGTGTTGTGGCGTGTGTGTGTGTGCGCGTGCGGACCCGGTGACAGCAACTGTTTTGGATCATGATTGCATGTTTCGGATTGATTTCATAGCTGACATTTGCGAGTGCAGTGCTGCGGGAATACTTTGGCGTACCTCATGTTGGTTGATGTTGAAGTTGTAGCGATCCAGCACATGTTAGGAATCAACACAGATAGCCAAAAGACACTTCATCGAAGCGTGTCCACGCCTCCAGTTTTTTTTTGATTATTATTGTTATTGTTATTATTATTTTCATTATTATTATTAGTATTATTGGTATTTTATCAACGCACCATTTCCAGAATCACACCACAAAAAACAGAGTTAGATATTTCCATTGATCAACTGAGATACATTTAGGCAAAAACCAACATGGTCCAAAGTGTCTTCCGGTGTACGGGAACATGCCGTGTGTTGAAAGTGGAAAGGAACCATTGAAAATCCCCGCAATTCGTTGAATTTAACTATGTTTCAAGCGCAGATCACTTTCCAAACAAGCATCCCGTTGACGTTTGCAGTATCCTTGTGGGAGGTGCTCCAAGATGGAAAACTTTATTCGAGCCAGTCAAGGAAACAATTCATTGTCAAGCTTTTGTTGCTTAGCCCTGTCTGATTCATTTTCGCATTGTTTAGCTTGGCCCTGTGTGTCTTATCCAGCTGATTTTCTTATTTTTCAGACAGAGTTCGTCTTAGCGCCGATATGCTTTTCTGCTGATGTGCCAACTCGAGTTGTTTTATACTTGTGTGTCGAAGTATATGGTGTTTCCGCAGGTGCTTTTTTTTGCCAGGTTCGGCGCGAAGAGGGGCACGCAACTGCCAGGCAGCGGGCATTCAGCGGTTGTCTTGTCCACGGGGTTCTTGGTTAGTCTCTCGGGACGCGAGGCTGGAAGCTCTCAGACTTGAGGCGATTGGCTGTTTGAACAGCATGTCTTTGGGGGGTGCTCGAGAGAGGTGCATAAATCACAAAGGTCCTGGAGGAACGCAGAAGGTGCACCTGGCAATCCTATATTTCTCGCGAGGTTTTCATTTTTCGTGTTTCGTGCATGTTGCTTGGCATGACTCCTTTTGGCCAGGCAGGACTTTCTGAAAGCCTTGCTGGAGAGGGTGCGAACGAGTGTTGTTTTTGCTAGCCTTTGCTCCTTCTATCTGTCTCGAAGGCGCGTGCGGGCGGAGCGGCTGTTCACTTCGCCTTGATGATGACCTCGCAACGTCGCGAAGCTCAGCTCGCATTTGAGCATTTTTTTGTCCTTCTTACGTGCACATGTACCCAGCTTGAGCTTAGGCCAAGAGGCCAAAGTTGTGGTCAGCGGCTCAAGCCGAAAGCGCACATCGAACCTGTGAGTAGCCACTTGCTGGTTTCTTGTTTCCAGAGTCGAGGCGAGTTTAAAGAATTGGATGCAGTTGCATGGCATGGCTTCAAGACACGTGAGGCCCAACAAGAATTGATGCTTGGCCAGCCAGTTTTATCATCGCTTCAGGACCTGCAGGCGCTTGAAGGTTGCGCATTGCATCGTTGAAATGCTTTCACGTCAGGAGAGACGACCGCTTTCGGAACAACAGGCCTTCGCTGACATTGGGCTTCTCGTGCGTTTCTTTTGAACCTTGCAGCAGGTTCCCCTGAATGTATGCAGTGCCGGCCTCAGTTCTTTCAGAGGGCGGCTTCTAAGCAGCAGGGGTTCCTCACAAGCAGTTACCTGCTGCTTGTTGTTGTTCAGGTGAATTGAGCACGCAAGAGACTTAGTTGCCGAATAAGGCTTCAGTTGTCTATGGTTTCAATGAGGCTGCGGAGCGAGCTTGAGAAGGTACAGCTTGAACTGGCAACAGAGAAGGCGAGAAGCTCCCGTCGCGCTTCTCCAATTTGCGAGCCTCCCGTGTTGAGCACTTCTGACGCAAGGCACAGGGAGACAGGATCAGCAAGTGTGGGCCTTATTGCTGACTGACCAGTTTGACTGGTTTTTTTCGTTACGCGGTCTTTGGGACACTGAGGCAGACTGAAGCTTTGGAAGAGACAAAGCGCTCACTGGAAACAGAGCGCCTGTGCTGAATGCCAGGTTGGCTGACCCGAACGGACTGAACCTTTGGATGACGCCCTTACATGATGCAGACTTTGTTTTTTGCGTGAATATCGGGCTTGTAACATTGTGGCAAGAGTGGGGCCAATCATTTCAAACTGTTTGTGTATGTATGTTGTTTCACTATAGCACACCCATGTTCCCTGAGCTTTGTCGCAGTTCCCACACAGATAATTTATGGAAGTGATGGGATGGACGTGAACATTGCGGTACAACTTTTACCTTGGCAATCAAGGCTGATGCTTGTTTATTCAATCAAGTCGGGTGAACGCAATCAAGAAGGTGAGATGTCACAAATTTATTACGCAGACCATTGACTGTGAACACCTAATCATGTCATCTCGCACGATGCCTGAACCCGCAGCTTTGTTTCAGCTCGAGCTTGCGCTTGCCAATTCTGCGGCGTCGGAAACTGTTTGTGAAGCTGGCATGACTTGACGGTTTGCCGCAATAATTTCCAAGTGAGCTGTTGATTGCGTCTGTCAGGCAGACTGCTGCCATGGGTCGGCTGGGGCTTCTTTTTGAGCTACGCCATGCTGAGACGAGGCATGTGCAACATTGAAATGCGAAGACCCTTTGTTTGAATTGTGAAGGCAAGGCGAAATGATTTCGGTGGTTGGGGCCTGTGGCGAGCCTGGCCCACAGGGAGGGAAAGCGTCCAGGCCACATTTGGCAGACTGTCTTGCTGGGCTTTTGCTTGACTTTTGCTAGACTGGTGTGAGGCTTGGAGCATGGGATTGCTACACTTCCGGCTTGTCGGCTTCTCAGCTCTCATGTCTTGGATTGGGCGCGAAACAGGAAGCTATGACTATGTTGCACCAGGCAACTGCGCACTGGATCGTCATGCTATCCTGCTTGGGCCATGTGGCAACCTTACCTCGCCGGGAACTTGCTTCGCAAGACAGTAGACACCTCGCAGGCTTGCACCAGTTTGGGTCTCGTACGAAGCTCAGGGTTGCTGAGTTGTGCAGCATTTTCTTATTGCGTGTACCATTCGGAAACAACAGCATGATTGGATGGCACGAGTCGTTTCTGAGGCCAGGGACAAGCGATTCTTCTGCATCACTCGAACGGCAGGCAGCATGCGTGCGTTGCAACAGTTCAACGTGAACAGTCCAGGGTCGCGACACCTGCCGAGTTCTCGCGGATGTGCCAGGATTTGGACACTCCGAGCCCACGAATTGCCTCTATCTCATGGTCCAATCTCTTTGCTCGCCCGATTCCATGCCGAT